TATATTTAATTCAGTCATAGAGAATGAGATGTTTAGTAGCTGTGATGATAACAGTTCTTTAAGGCCCCCTGAGCTCAGAATCCTCCCAAATAAATAAAATACTGGAGCTGGTAAAGAAACAAGTTTCTGGTGCAGTGTGGACCCCTTAGGGCCAAACACACAGAGGCCCCATTAATAAATGTATCTATATGGCAGATCTTTATTAAAATGATTTTAAATGTTTGTTTTTGCTTTTTTAATGATTGTGTCTCCTTTAAATCTTAATTTCCTGGGGCTCCTTAAAACCCCACAGTTCCACTCCCCCCCCCACCCGCCGTGAAAGATTAAAAAGCAAAATGTGAGAAAATAGATCATTTTTTGGACCAGTTAAAAAATGGCCGTGAGTGAGACCTGAAGAACTATTAGTTTGTTAAATAAAGACATTTGATCTAATGATGTAACTCACCGCTGAGCTCCGCGCTGCTCCTGCTCCAATGATCCCCGGGAAGGTGTGAGGCCCCCACCCAGCAGCGCGTCGGTGCTGGCCCCCGGAGCGGCGGAGCTGCGAGCAGAGTGACGAAGGAATGCGGAAAACTGCTGTCTTCTTTGCGGCTTTGAAGGCTCTTCATAAACAACCAACTGCTGCATTAGCTCCACCAGTTGGTGGCAAAGGGCTGCAGGTCCAGAAATATCATCCTGGATCTCAGTCTGTGTCTCTAAATGTTTAAAATCCAACATAAAAAATCCAGCGTTTCTGAAAAAGGATCGAATTAAAGTTAAAAACATAAATAAATAACTAAAAGAAGAGAAGAAACACTTTGCAAAATGGTGCATGACTGCATGTCCACTTAGTTCTAGAATAGAATAGAATACAATAGAATAGAATAGAACAAAATATAATACAATAGAAAACATTAAAATAGAATAAAATAAACTAAAATAGAAAAAATAGAATAGAACAGTATAGAATAGAATAGATTAGAATGGAATCAAATACAATTGAATAGAGAAGAATATAATAGAATATAATATAATATAATAGATTAGAATAGAACCAAACAGAATAGAATAGAAGAAACTAAAATAGAATAGAATAGAAATGTAATCATCTGACACCAGCTAAGAGACAAACACATTTATGACATCCAGGAAAGATAAACTTCATAAATAACACATCAGCAATAAACTACAAACTTTATCAGTGTTTAAAAGAAGTTAAAATCCTAAAAAACTGACACATAATTTACATTTCTGAGTTGCACAGAAAGTCTTGACCAGGAAATAAAAAAACATGTTTAAATCAAAGCTGCTACTTTTATTTCCTGCAGGTCTTCCGACGTTTCTAGATTTCTTACCACCAGGGGCGGATTTAGGAAAT